CTGAGTTTGCAGCCCCCATTTTGAAACTTGATTTTAACCATGGAGTAGGAACTGGGGAATAGGTGTAGGGAGATATCTTTGACAGTGTCCTGAAAGAGAGGCCCCTGTTTCAAGACTGAAAACTCTGAAACAATAGTGAGGGTCTAACTATGCCCAAATATAGCAATAGGCATTAGATGTCTTGAGAGATTTCTCTGCTCATTCCAGCAGGCTGAGATTCACTTTCTTGTACACTGATCAGCCACATGCTTTCATTCTCAACAAATCATGCTCTAGCCATCCAGTCAAGCCATATACTCCTATTCTTCATCATCATCATAACCCTTTCCAGGCTTTTCTAGAAAGAAAATACACAGAAGTGGTATACCATTCCCTTCTTCTGGGGGCACGTTAGGCCTGTGCTGCTTGCCCATGGCCACATAGGCTGCGTCTACTTGCAAGAGGCACAGAGGGGAATCGAACTCTCAACTGGTGGCTTTGCACCATTAAACCACTGAGCTATCCAGCTAGCACATAGATGCCTTATAATTCATTCTAACAAATAAAAAGGCATTGCATTTAGAACACATATCTCAAAGAGTCTGCAACATTGGTTTTATAAGTCATCAGTTAGTATCTTCCACATGTCTGATCCGATCTTTCAGAGGAGGTCCATGTGACTCTCATCCTGAACCAAGCACAGACTCTCATTATATTAATTTCTTATGCTTGTGGTTCTTGATTCAGGTGAAGCTCTTTCCCTTTTCTCCAGATGATGCCTTCATGAATATGCATAGCTCTGCCAGATAATGTCCAGGTGTAAGACTATGAATATTCAAAAGTCATTGTTGTTGCAAGCATAAATCTGCATTATCTTACCAGAAATGTGAAATTGCCCGTGTAGCATCTGGATTTAATATTCATCATCTGATGATATTCTGAATTGCATATAAGGTAGTGTCTCATTTTTTCCAGCTACTTGCTCCACTAGTTCTTTCACAGATCCAGAACCTGACAGCTTGGTCAAAGTACAGGTTGCAGCAGAAACAGCTGGTCATGTTCATCCACTGCCATCATTCCTTCCTTCCCTTCCCTTCTGCTGCCTTTTTCTCCCTCCCCTTTATTTCTATACCTATCAAAATTTAGACCCTTAAAAGTAGGAACTGCTTTTTCCTCTTCTTCTTTTGCTTATATAATTCATGTGCAAATACTGATTAGAGCCTTGCACTGCTTCCACAGGCAACACAGCACTATTCTCACTCAGCATGAGGTAGCACAAAAAAAATTGCAAGGAATAACAACAACAACATCTAAGGAGATTATTCTCCCTCTGCATCTGTCCCATAATACTCAATGGCCAGGAATGTTCTGTGCTAGGAATCAGGAGTGATAATTGAGAAGTAAAGAAGGCAGGAACAGGATGGAGTGGCCAGAACTGGAGGAAAAACAAGTAAAGATGCAGACAAATATGTGTATCAACAATGTGCACAAAAATACAGTCTTGGTTCAGTCTTTAAGTTTATATTTAAGTGTATTTTTCATTTGAGATCTGCTAAGAAGTAACTGAAGAGCAACTCAGTAATAACCAGTAATGTTTCAAGTAGCAACTCAGTAATAATGAGTCATGTAACAAGTAACTCTAATATTAAACAATCATAAGGCTTAAAGAGGGAACAGTAATGCATTTCTTTTAAAAATAACATTCAAAGCTCTGATGCCTCTAAATTCTTTTTGTGTCTTTCAGGTCCTAACTTTGAATTTCTCCTTGCCTCCCACCACCCTTCAACACTCCCCCCTTTCTTCCTCTTAGCACTCCAGAGAGCAGCCTAGACACCTGAGGATCACCTCCTAACCACAAATGCTCATCAAGAGATTTCAAGTATGAATTAACCATTCTGGGCTCCTAGCTTAGCAATATTATAGCTGGCAACTGCATAACAATCCTGTAAAAAAACCTACAATCATTGCTGTACCTCCTTCTGATGGATGCAGGTCGGGTCCATATGTGTGAGAAGAATTCAGTCCAGCATCACATTTTATTTTCCATTTCAGCATAGCATAGAATGTGGGGAAACACGTATGACCTGGTGCAAATTGAATTGTCTAAGTGTTTTGTTGTTGTTGTTGTTGTTTCGTCGTCATTTAGTCATTTAGTCGTGTCCAACTCTTTGTGACCCCATGGACCAGAGCACGCCAGGCCCTCCTATCTTCCACTGCCTCCCAGAGTTGGGTCAGATTCATGTTGGTTGCTTCGGTGACACTGTCCAACCATCTCATCCTGTGTCGTCCCCTTCTCCTCTTGCCTTCACACTTTCCCAACATTAAGGTCTTTTCCAGGGAATACTCTCTTCTCATGAGATGGCCAAAGTATTGGAGCCTCAGCTTCAGGATCTGTCCTTCCAGTGAGCACTCAGGGTTGATTTCCTTTAGAATTGATAGGTTTGTTCTCCTTGCAGTCCAGGGGACTCTCAAGGGCCTCCTCCAGCACCACAATTCAAAGGCATCAATTCTTCGGCGGTCTGCTTTCTTTATGGTCCAGCTGTCACTTCCATACATCACTACAGGAAAAACCATAGCTTTGACTATTCAGAATTTTGTTGGCAAGGTGATATCTCTGCTTTTTAAGATGCTGTCAAGGTTTGTCATCGCTTTCCTCCCAAGAAGCAGGTGTCTTTTAATTTCGTGGCTGCTGTCTCCATCTGCAGTGATTATGCAGCCCAAGAAGGTAACATCTGTCACTGCCTCCATATCTTCCCCTTCTGTTTGCCAGGACGTGATGGGGCCAGTGGCCATGATCTTAGTTTTTTTGATGTTGAGTTTAAGACCGTTTTTTGCACTCTCCTCTTTCACCCTCATTA